GCTATATCTGAACCGATCTTCACCAAATTTGACATACTAGCTTCTAGACTCAATTCGGCCGTATGTGCCAAATTCCATAACATTTGGGCAATTATTAGACGTTTGGTGCACAATAACGGGTAAATCGGACGAAGTTATATATATGGGAGCTATATCCAAATCTGAACCGATCTCGATAAAATTTGGCAAATATATTTCTGAGCTGTATTTGATAGATTTCCCCAAATATCGTTGTTACGGAGTGCATATTACGGCTGTGGGTAAGAAATACAACAAATCGGATGAACAATATATATGGGAGCTACAGCTATATCTAAACCGATCTTCACCAAATTTGACATACTATCTTCTAGATTCGATTCAATTCGGTCGTAAGTGCTAAATTCCATCCCATTTGGTCAAATATTAGACGTTTGGTGTACAATAAAAGGTAAATCGGACGAAGTTATATATGGGAGCTATATTCAAATCTGAACCGATCTCGATTAAATTTAGCAAAAGTATTTCTGAGCTGTATTTGATATATTTCCCCAAATACTGTTGTTACAGAGTGCATATTACGACTGCGGAGTACAAAAATAACAAATCGGATGAACAAAATATATGGGAGCTATAGCTATATCTGAACCGATCTTCACCAAATTTGAGATACTAGCTTCTAGACTCAATTCGGTCGTAAGTGCCAAATTCCATCTCATTTGGACAAATATTAGACGTTTGGTGCACAATTAAAAGGTAAATCGGACGAACTTATATATGGGAGCTATACCCAAATCTGAACCGATCTCGATAAAATTTAGCAAACGTATTTCTGAGCTGTATTTGATATATTTCCCCAAATATTGTTGTTACAGAGTGCATATTATAGCTGCGGAGGACAAAAATAACAAATCGGAATAACAATATATATGGGAGCTATAGCTATATCTGAACCGATTTTCACCAAATTTGTCATACTAGCTTCTAGACTCAATTCGGTCGTATGTGCCAAATTCCATCCCATTTGGACAATTAATAGACGTTTGGTGCACAATAAAAGGTAAATCGGACGAAGTTATGTATGGGAGCTATATTCAAATCCGATCTCGATAAAATTTAGCAAAAGTATTTCTGAGCTGTATTTAATATATTTCCCCAAATATTGTTGTTACAGAGTGCATATAACGGCTGCGGAGGACAAATCGGATGAACAATATATATGGGAGCTATAGCTATATCTGAACCGATTTCGATCAAATTCGGCGTACCTATTTTAAGGCCTAATTTGGTTGTATGTGCGAGATTCCATACTATTCGAGCTGATATTACACGTTTGGTGCACAATAAAATGTAAATCGGAAGAAGATATATATGGGAGCTATATCTAAATTTGGACAATTAATAGACGTTTGGTGCACAATAAAAGGTAAATCGGACGAAGTTATGTATGGGAGCTATATTCAAATCCGATCTCGATAAAATTTAGCAAAAGTATTTCTGAGCTGTATTTAATATATTTCCCCAAATATTGTTGTTACAGAGTGCATATAACGGCTGCGGAGGACAAATCGGATGAACAATATATATGGGAGCTATAGCTATATCTGAACCGATTTCGATCAAATTCGGCGTACCTATTTTAAGGCCTAATTTGGTTGTATGTGCGAGATTCCATACTATTCGAGCTGATATTACACGTTTGGTGCACAATAAAATGTAAATCGGAAGAAGATATATATGGGAGCTATATCTAAATTTTGACCGATTATCTCCAATTTCAATAGGGTTCGTCCTTGGGCCAAACAAATGTTGTTTGAAAAATTTCATCTCAATCGGATAATAAATGCGACCTGCATTTTGTTTACAGACGGACGGACGGACAGACGGACGGATATAGTAATGACGAAGATAGTAATTATATTGGGGTGTATACGACGTGGACCTACAAAGGCATTGTTTGTCATAAGCCATTACCATATTCAAATTCGAAACTTGAAATAAACGGTCAATAATGTAGCTAAAATCGTCAAAATATCGAATATAGGGAGGTACTGATATATGGGGCCTATACGAAGACCTGGACCTGCATAGACAATTTTCCGTCACAGACTGTAGTTAAAATTACGGACTCAATTCCGGTAAATAATGTCGCTAAAATCATCAAAATACCGAATATCGGGAGGTACCGTTATATGGGAGCTATATGAAAACGTGGACCTACATGACCCATTTACGAAATTAAATTGCCTACTGGCAAAATATACATATGTGCAAAATGTTAGCCTTCTATCTCAATACCTTCGAAAAATAGCGTGATTACAAGAGACAGTCGGACAAAGGGACATTTCTAAATCGTCCTAGAATTTTATGCTGATCAAGAATATGTGTACTTTGTTGGGTCTGACATGAGTATTTCGAGGTGTTACAAACGGAATGACAAAGTTAATATACCGTCCCTCCATAGTATGGTGGAGGGTATAAAAAAACTTCTAGATATCTAGCAGATATTTTCATGAAATATTCTTTCACTTATTTTCTATCTCTATCTCTCTCTCCCTCTCACCCACTTTCCCACTCTACCTCTCCTCTATCACTCAAACATAATATATACATTATATTTATACTTAAAACTTTTCCACTAACAACATTTTCTAATTTTCTTTTAATTTCCCCAGAGTTTCCCCCATGGAGCTGTGAGCAGAGCAAGTCACACATCCCATTTTCCGAGTGTAGAACACAACAAAATCCATTCGTATGTTTATCGTCACAATGAGCATATACACCTACATACATACAAACATACATTCACATCCCAAGAAACCAAACAGCCAACAAAACAGGCAAACTGCCAGCCAGCCAGCTAACCAACCCAATACTGACAGACAGCCAGCCAGCCAGCTAGTTAGGCAGTCTGTCCGTCCGTCCGTCAGTCATCCATCCAGTCCTCGAACATATGAACAGAAAATCCAACCAAACCAGCGCGACAATGTTCAATATTTTTTTCACTTTTTCTTGTTTTGACGTAGTCGACGACAACGACGATGTCGTTCGTTCGTTGTTCCTGGAAATTGGAAAAGGTAAGCAACCCGACGTAACTTATTTCGAATAGCTAGCTGGGCTGTTGCTGCTATACAAACAATGGTGGAAAAACAACAACACCACGGCATTTGCTAGGTAGTGGCTACTACCCACTACTCAATAACTTTGGAGGTGGATGGCTGGCTGGCTGCTCGCATGAAATGTCAGAATGCAGATACTTTGGCCACAACAACGACGAGTTAAATCAAGTCAAATCGTTTATGAACAACAACAAAAACAACAACAGCAGCAACTGAAAAACAAATTCAAAGACTAAAAGACAAACATGAATAGAATGACAAACGAAACGTCACAATCGACCAACCATCATCATCCAATGCATGTCGGTCGTCGTCCAATGTCCTTTGGATTCGTTTAGATTTTTTTTTTTTTTTGGAAAAAAAAAACTAAAATTGAATATTGGCCAGATTTGAAGGTAGTTAACTGTGAAGTTATTTTTTACAGGCGGCTGGCTTTAAGGGTAATTTCGATCCCGGAATTAGGGATTTTTATACCCTACACCACATAATGGTAAGGGTATTATGTCTTTGTGTATTTGTTTGTAACAGGCAAAAGGAAACGAGATAGACCCATAGTTCCTTTTGATGATCTGCATAGAATCACATTCTGAGTCGATTTGTGCATGTCCGTCCGTCCGTCTGTCCATGTATTTTTGTAAACAAGGTACAGTTCGCATTTATTGCCCTATCCAGATGAAATTTTGCACAGATCATTTGTTTGGCCCAAGGACGAACTCTATTGAAATTGGAGATAATCGGTCAAAATTCATAAATAGCTTCCATATATATCTTCGTCCGATTTCCCTTTTATTGTGCACCAAACGTGTAATATCAGCCCGAATAGTATGGGATTTTGCACATAAAACCAAATTAGGCCTCAAAAAATAAGTATGCCAAATTTGATCTAAATCGGTTCAGGTATAGCTATAGCTCCCATATATATTGTTCATCCGATTTGTTAGTTTTGTCCTCCGCAGCAGTAATATGCACTCTGTAACAACAATATTTGGGGAAATATATCAAATACAGCTCAGAAATACCATTGCTAAATTGTATCGAGATCGGTTCTGATTTCGATATTGCTCCCATATATAACTTCGTCCGATTTACCTTTTATTGTGCACCAAACGTCTAATATTTGTGCAAATGGGATGGAATTTGGCACTTACGACCGAATTGAGTCTAGAAGCTAGTATGTCAAATTTGGTGAAGATCGGTTCAGTTATAGCTATAGCTCCCATATATATTGTTCATCCGATTTGTTATATTTGTTACTCACAGCCGTAATATGCACTCCGCAACAACGATATTCAGGGAAATATATGAAATATAGCTCCGAAATATCTTTGCCAAATTTTATCGAGATCGGTTCCGATTTGGAGATCTTTATCCTATTTCAAATTAATTGTGCACCAATTGGCCAATACAAGTCCGAATTTAAAAGATACAAATGCTTCGGCATATTTAGTCTTTTGAACTTTAAATTATAATTATAATCATAGGGTGTATGATTGAATTCTCCCATAAAATTGTTTAATTGTTATGCAGAGCTCTACTAAATTAGCAAAGTGGTGTAGGGTATCATAAAGGCGGCCCCGCCCGACTTTAAAACATTCTTTACTGGTTTTTATATTTAGAACATCTTAATAGTTTTATTATCAAAATATCTGGTCTGTAAAGATAGGATACATCGGTCTACACCTTCTGGCACCTGCCCGGCAAAGGGGTTACAATTTTGAATAAACAAAACTCTCATAAAATGCCAAATTAGCATCCGATTAATTTCAAACTCGGCACACCCTAATATTTAACTCTAGTTCTAGTTCCTTCTAATACCTCCTCCCCCCCACACAATGGGGTCAACATTTTGAATAACCGGAACGCTCATAAAAATGCAGAATACGCATTTGATTCTATTCAACGTTTACACACCCAAATATTTCTTGAAATATAATTTCTTGCCTGAAATATATCTCTTTTTAGACACTTTTTATTCGTAGAACCCTTTCATAGAGGCTTAGAAACGTCTTATATCTTCCATTTATTTATAGAAATCCCATCACTTCCGTACTCTTTCAAAAAATTTGTGTTTATTTTGGAATTAAAAATAAAAAAATGATCAACCGTTCTAACCACTAATTGACTTCAACGATGATGGACTCAGACGCAATACCTCGACAGCTTCTTCGCGTGTCAGAATATAATGAGCCCGATAGCCATTTTTCGTGCCATCGTAATCGATCTCCAATTTTATGGCATAATCTTTGTTATTTGGCAAGGGTAGGACTTGAATCAGATTACCCTTAATCACCAAATCCTTGTCATCTTCCAGGGAAATGGTTTCCTCACGCAGGCCACGATTAACAAAGACACTAGAAAAAAATAAATATAAATTCAAAATATCCCAATTTGGATGGATTTGAAACAACTTTACTTGTATTGCCTCAAGACGGCTGATTCTGTTGCTGGAGACAAGGCTATAATCACCACCACGGCAAGGAAGAATGCCTGAAATATTGTTTTTCGACAGTTATTTTTTTTTTTTGTATTTTCACTGCTTATTTTTAAAAATCTACTACCTTCACAAACATTGTTCTTGAATATCCGACAAGTAAAATGCAACTGAGTGCTGGCCAAAAACGCCAAAACGCATTTAATTTTTAAATTTTTGCATAGCATTCTTTGTTTTTCAATGTGAAAATACAACTAGTTTTGAAAATAGTGGTAAAAAATACCGGTTTCAGTTAGCAAAAATATATAATTATGATCATATGCATGTTTTTTTTGCCAAAAAATATTTGTTTAGTTATTCGTCATCGATGGTTTTTGAAGATACTCGGAATGCTAATCTAAGACGGATGCAATTAACGTGATAATAAAATTATTAATGTGATTATAAGTTATATTTGAGGAAATTAACAATGAGAGATTATTTTGAAGAAAATATCAAAAAATAATGCCAATTTAAAAAAGCCCGCAATTATAACCAGTAAAGAAAGTCTTAAAGTCGGGCGGGGCCGACTTTATGATACCCTACACCACTTTGCTAATTTAGTAGAGCTCTCCACATAACAATTAAACGTTTTTATGGGAGAATTCAATCATATGCGCTATGATTATAATTATAATTTAAAGTTCAAAAGACCTAATATGCCGAAGCATTTGTATCTTTTAAATTCGGACTTGTATTCCCCATTTGCTGATAAATTAATTTAAAATCGGATAAAGATGTATATGGGAGCTATATCCAAATCTGAACCGACCTCGATAAAATTTGGCAAATATATTTCTGAGCTGTATTTGATATATTTCCCTGAATATCGTTGTTACGGAGTGCATATTACGGCTGTGGCTAACAAATATAACAGATCGGATGAACAATATATATGGGAGCTATATCTAAACCGATCTTCACCAAATTTGACATACCACCTTCTAGACTCAATTCGGTCGTATGTGCCAAATTCCATCCCATTTGGGCAAATATTAGACGTTTGGTGCACAATCAAAGGTAAATCGGACGAAGTTATATATGGGAGCTATATCCAAATCTGAACCGATCTCGATAAAATTTGGCAAAGATTTTTCTGAGATGTATTTGATATATTTCCCTGAATATCGTTGTAACGGAGTGCATATTACGGCTGTGGGTAATAAAAATATAACAGATCGGATGAACAATATATATGGGAGCTATAGCTATATCTGAACCGATCTTCACCAAATTTGACATACCAGCTTCTAGACTCAATTCGGTCGTAAGTGCCAATTTTCATCCCTTTTGGGCAAATATTAGACGTTTAGTGCACAATAAAAGATAAATCGGACGAAGTTATATAGGGGAGCTATATCCAAATCGGAACCGATCTCGATAAAATTTGGCAAAGATATTTCTGAGCTGTATTGCATATATTTCCCTGAATATCGTTGTTACGGAGTGCATATTACGGCTGTGGGTAACAAATACAACAAATCGGATGAACAGTATATATGAGAGCTATAGCTATATCTAAACCGATCTTCACCAAATTTGACATACTATCTTCTACAATCAATTCGGACGTAAGTGCCAATTTTCATCCCTTTTGGGCAAATATTAGACGCTTAGTGCACAATAAAAGGTAAATCGGACGAAGTTATATATGGGAGATATATCCAAATCTGAACCGATCTCGATAAAATTTAGCAAAGGTATTTCTGAGCTGTATTTGATATATTTCCCTGAATATCGTGCGGCGTGCATATTACGGATGTGGCTAACAAATATAACAAATCGGATGAACAATATATATGGCAGCTATAGCTATATCTGAACCAATCTTCACCAAATTTGACATACTAGCTTCTAGACTCAATTCGGTCGTTAGTGCCAAATTTCATCCCATTTGGGCAAATATTAGACGTTTGGTGCACAATAAAAGGTAAATCGGACGAAGTTATATATGGGAGCTATATCCAAATCTGAACCGATCACGATAAAATTTGGCAAAAAAATTTCTGAGCTGTATTTGATATATTTCCCCAAATATTTTTGTTACGGAGGGCATATTACGGCTGTGACTAACAAATATAAAAAATCGGATGAATAATATATATGGGAGCTATAGCTATATCTGAACCGATCTTCACCAAATTTGACATACTAGCTTCTACACTCAATTCGGTCGTAAGCACCACATTTCATCCCATTTGCGCAAATATTAGACGTTTGGTGCACAATAAAAGCTAAATCGGACGAAGTTATATATGGGAGCTATATCCAAATCTGAACCGATCTCGATAAAATTTAGCAAAGGTATTTCTGAGCTGTATTTGATATATTTCCCCAAATATTGTTGTTACAGAGTGCATATTACGGCTGCGGAGGACTAAAATAACAAATCGGAAGAACTATATATATGGGAGCTATAGCTATCTTCCGATCTTCACCAAATTTGGCATACTTATTTTCAGGGCTAATTTGATTGTATGTGCAAAATTCCACGCTATTCGGGCTGATATTACACGTTTGGTGCAGAATAAAAAGCAAATCGGACGAAGATATATATGGGAGCTATATCTAAATTTTTACCGATTATCTCCAATTTCAATAGGTTTCGCCCTTGGGCCAAATAAATGATTTGTGCACAATTTCATCTGGATCGGGTAATAAATGCGAACTGTACATGGTTTACAAAAATACATGGACAGACGGACAGACAGACGATCGGACATGCATAAATCAACTCAGAATGTGATTCTATGCAGATCATCAAAAGGAACTATGGGTCTATCTCGTTTCCTTTTGCCTGTTACAAACAAATGCACAAAGACATAATACCCTGACCACCGTGTGATGTAGGGTATAAAAATGAGCTCGGGATAAAGCCATTCCAAAAAGTGCAAGAACTTACACCGCAACAGAAAGAAAATAGACTTAAAAGAGCTGAAGAGTTGCTGCTTCGCTTGGCCGAAAGTGGTGAACTACCAATTTGGTTTTCTCCGAAGAGAAAACATTCCTTGTCCAGCAGTTTGTAAACAAACAAAATTATCGTGTTAACTTTCCAAAGAGGTCAGCTGAAAATATGGACCCTCGGTTGGGTACCAGAACTCAAGCGCCGGCCATGGTGATGGTGTGGGCTGCCATAACAGCCGATGATCGCTCTCCGTTTGTATTAATAGACCGCCGTGACATCAGAATAAATGCCTAATATTATGGCGAAAATATTCTGGAGGGTGTATTGAAGCCTTGGGTACGATAACATTTTGGCCGCAGACCTTGGCCAATTCCAACAGGACTCAGCACGCGCCACCCAAGAATAATTATAAAATGAGGTTCCTCGCTTCATTTCCAGCGCACAATGGCTAACAAAATCTCTGGATACCAATCCATTGGACTATTGTGTCTGGAGTATTTTGGAAAGCAAGGTTGACACTAAAAAATACCAAAGTGCCAATCACCTCAAGCAAGCGCCGCTTCGCCGGGAAAGGGCCAAAATACGGCAGAGCAACATTTGGGCAGCGTGTGACCGTGGTTTCATTGGCGGTTTAAAGGCCATAATTCGTGCCAAAAGACCATAATACGAACAAATCTAAACTTATTCTAAAATTTGATGATATTTCAGAAATTTCTTACTTTCATTCAATAAAAATAAAAAAAAATAAAAATTATGGCGTTTGACTTTGTTGCAGTTTTTTTTTTTATTTTTTTTTTGTTATCTCACCCTGTATTTCTATGCCAAAAGAAAGTAGTATAAATTTATTCAAAGAAATTTTCCACTGCACCCCCAGACAGGCTCTTGATTATCAATTCGCAAAAAGTAGAAAGAAGTAAAGAATAAACATATGTCCAATACCTACCTACCTATTTGTGTACATATGTACCTATGAACAAACATCGCCTATTTGTTAATATTATCGAAATACAAAACATTGAATAAACATTTGTTGATAAACCATTTTCTCAAACCCACGTGCCGAAGGAGGAATTAGAATCTAGTTTCGTCGTTTTTTTTTTTTGTTTTTGTTTGACTTTGTTTCGAGTGTGAAATGTTTGATGGATGGGGTTGCGAAAAAACGACTTGACTCCCACACACTTTCATTAACGAAAAGAAGAAGAGGAGGAGAGGGCGACATTAAAATTGTTGTTGTTTCACTCAAAACGACATAAACAAACAATTTTCACCTCCTTTGGCTAATGGGGAAAAATGCGTAATTCTGCAATAAATTATTATTATTGTTATTATTGTTGTTGTTATTAAAAAAGAAAACGAAAAACATCGCATTGTGATACAATTTTTTAAATTAAATTTTGTGATTCAGAGTTGTTAGAATTCTTACTCTATACTTTGGTCGTACTCTCTCTCTCTCTCTCTCTCTCGGCAAGATAATATTTTTGTACTCACAAAGAAACTTGAGTTGTATTTGTTGTCATTGTTGTTGTTGTGAAATATGTCGACACCAAAAGTAAACAAATCATCAAAATGGTCGAACATTGGTGGTAACGGCTTGAACCGAACCATTGCCGGGGACCTGACGACGACCGGCACAGCAAAAAACCAAATAGCGAAACAAAAAAAAAACCATTGCCTCTCACAACACACAGAAGTAGCCGAGAGGAAGTCATCAGAAACAATTCGCAAACAAACAAATTTACACAGTTTAGCCTCTGGATTCCCTCCTCGTTGTTTTGTTATGCACTTCTCGAAACAATGAGCCTCAGACTTCAACGCACCCTCTCTGCCCCTCGCCATGCGGACAGCCATTGAACAGTTTATTAGCAGAGTCAGTGTCAAGGAAAAATTGCATTGCTCGATGTGCATGGCAAAATACAAAAATATTATAGTGGGAAGAAGAGGAGGAGGAGGAGGCGCGGCATGCAAAAAAAAAACAAACAAAATTGAAAAGAAAACATATGAACCAACCTATCGCAAATAAATGCAAAATCTCAACAACAACTAATTTATTGATAAAATGCTGCAAATACAACACACAACAGAACTACCTATAAGAAGGAAAAAAACTGCCGAACCCAGTCGAATACCCGAATACTCCTTGAAAATTTTCCAAAAAAAAATCCGTCGAAAATACCGCTAAAGGGAAAACCTTTTATATGGGCTTAAGAAGACATGGTCCTGCATACAGGGTAAGATAAAAAAACTGCAACAAAGTCAAACGCTATAATTTTTATTATTTTTTTTTTTTAATTTTATTGAATGAAAGCAAAAAATGTCGGATATAGCATCAAATTTTAAAAAAAGTTTAGATTTGTTCGAATTGGTCACCTTTGGCACGAATTATGGCATTCAAATGAAACCTTCACACGCTGCCCGAATGTTGCTCTGCGGTATTTGGTCCCGGCGAAACGCTTGCTTGAGGTGATCGACACTTTCGCATTTTTCAGTGCCAACCTTACCTTCCAAAATACTCCAGACATAATAGTCAAACGGATTGCTATCCGGAGATTTTGGTGGCAAA